TCCCCAGCCCCGGCCTGCCAAAACGGGGCTGGGGATCCGGCGGTGCTGCCCCTGCCCTCCGTCCGGCAGCCTGCCTGGAGAGCTGGGGTGACACGGGGGGGGGCGGGTTGAGACCCAGAGGGGAAAGCAACGTCACATGTGGGTGCTCTCTGGACAGATAACAAGGACATCCTGGTGATGCTGAGCGACATGGACATCAATGCTATCGCCGGCACGCTGAAGCTGTACTTCCGCGAGCTGCCCGAGCCCCTGCTCACTGACAGACTCTACCCCGCCTTCATGGAGGGGATCGGTAAGGGTTTGGGGACGGGGAAGGGGTCGGTGCCCAAGCATGGCTCTGGCTGATATTGCCTGCTCTGGGGTGGGAGACTCCTGAGGGTCCTTCCCAGCTTGGCCCACTCGGTCCTGGCTGTCCTTGCCAGCTCAGGGCCCGTGGTGCTGGTCCCCAGGGTGCAGGCAGAGCCCTCGTGCACTGGCTGCCGGGCAGCATCTGGCCATGGTGGGTCCCGCTGCCGTGCAAGGTGTCACCAACCCCTTCTCCTGAGCCTTCTCCCTCCTTGTCTCCAGCCCTCTCGGATCCTGCTGCCAAGGAGAACTGCATGATGCACCTTCTCCGCTCGCTGCCTGACCCCAACCTCATCACCTTCCTCTTCCTGCTGGAGCACTTGAAAAGGTAACGGCTCGGCTTGCGGCTCCCGGGGGGCTGCCCGGCGCAGGCGGGAGGTGCAGGACGGGTCCGTCTCACCGCTTTGCTGTGGGGATGAGACGTGAGTGTGGTTAGAGCCATTGTCTGATTCCTGCGGTGCCCGCACGGCCGCGGGCTGATCCCGGACTGGAGGCAGATGGTGCCGTGCTGGTGCAGAGCAGGGCTGTGGGCGGCAGTCGGGGCCAGAAGCAGCGGCTCGGTGCTGGGCCGGTGGCAGAGTAGCCCTTTCCCCTCCCAGCCCCTCTGAGACGGTGCATCCCCAGGTGTGTCCCACCTGCCCCATCTCCTTGGGCTCCGGCACGTTCACTGGGGTCCTGGCCGGGCTGCAGCCTGTTCCGGCTGAGACCCGGCATGCCATGACTCCCTTTGGCTGATGTCAGTGTTGGCTTCCCACGGCTCCTCTCCACGGGCCCCGTAGGGGGCTGGGGGGGGCCTGGAGCCATTCTGCCCCACAGAGCAGCCCCCTGCTGGGGGGGGCTTCAACTGTGCAGCGCACAGCCGTTGATGCAGGTCAGCTCTGCAGGGAGCACACATCCTCTGGCAAGACACAACTCTTGGCTTCTGCAGCCAGCATGCAGCTGGTTGGACAAGCTGTCCGCGGGGAGCAGCTGGCCTCGGCGCAGGACGGGGACTCAATGGGGAGCCGTGCAGTGTCCCCTTAGTGGGAAAACTGAGTGCTGCATCCCTTTCCACCAGTCCGGCCGTAGACCCTGCAAAGCAAGGTGCAATAATCCCCATAACTTGTCTGCAGTGAGCGGTCAAGACCCAGAGTCATGTCCCAAAGCTGCAGGTGATGCCCTGTGTCACTCATCCCGGGGCGAGTGCTTTGCCAGGCTTTATCTTGGCCCAGATGAAGCCCATTTGAACCTGGGGACGGACAGTTCTGGGGCTTGCTGGGGGCCTGAAACCCGTGGAGGACTCGGGGCTGTGGGCAGAGCAGCAGCACAGCACGCAGAGCCTGGCTGGAGCTGGCCACAAGATTGGGACCGGGGCTCATGGCTCATGTTACTTGCATCACAAAGTGTTGTTTTGTTTTGGGTTTTTTTTTTTTCTCTGGTTTGGCTAAAACCAAACAGAAAAAGTGATGGATGCTAGGGGGTGGGGAAGGAAAAATCCATTTCCATCCTGAGAACCGGGCACAGCCAGTTCCCACATCTGCTCCCCTGGCCGGGGCTCAACCGTGCAGCCTGTGCCGGGGAGCACGGCTGCCTCCTAACATGGCAATGTTGTGGCCTTGGTTCCCTCGGCGCGGGCTGGCTGGGGTCCCGCGGGGTCGGAGGGGTAGGGAGCCTTGAGGGGGAGTGGGTGCGGGGAGGCAGGGGCTGGCTCCGCTGCACATAAGCAAGCAAGGGCTCGGTCTCTGCCACATCACACCCAGGGCTCCCGGCCAGGCCCGGCGGCTCCGGCGGAGGCCGTGAAGGGGGCAGAGCTCCCTGCCCTGCACCTGGGTTTGCCGGGGGCCACGAAGGGCAATGGCAAAGCCAGAGGTGTCCCGCTGGGGCTGGGAAAAGGGAGATCAGTGCTCGCCCCCCCCTCTTCCCCGGCATCACCCATGGCTGCCCCACTCCAGGAGAACAGCATTAGGGGTTCATGCTCCCTCTCCCCCCGTACCCCGCAGGGTGGCTGAAAAGGAGCCCATCAACAAAATGTCTCTCCACAACCTGGCCACGGTCTTTGGGCCGACACTGCTGAGACCCTCAGAGGTGGAGAGCAAGGCACACCTCACCCTGGCCTCCGACATCTGGTCCCACGATGTGATGGCCCAGGTAAGAGCTGCAGCGTGGGGCAACAGCCCGCACCAGCACCCCTGGGTTGGGGAGCAGAGGGATTTAGCTGCCTCTCTGGGAAGATTTGTGTCTCTTTGCTGGACGTGGCTGCACAGGGACAAGCTGGGTGGTGGCAGTTCTTCTCCTTTCTGGCCTAACACCTCCCATTTGCCTGCTACAGGTCCAGGTCCTTCTCTACTACCTGCAGCATCCTCCCATCTCCTTCACCGAGCTGAAACGCAACACGCTTTACTTCTCCACGGACGTGTAGCCTGCAGGGAGAAGGCACCAGCTGCAAACACTCCCAGCTCCCTGCTGGGGGACACAGACTGGATCGCAGCCCCCCCCACCTCCAGGGAGACCGGCCCGGACCCAGGACGGTGCCGCCTGCAGCTCCTGTACAATCGCGTACCGGTGACCCGGTCCCACGCCAGGCGCCATTGCCTCTCTGTAAAGTAGTCGTGTCTTATGTCCCTTCTTGTGTTCAAGAATTGTTTTTATGTATATTTGTTCAATGGAAGAGGTAGTGACTGACAAGGGCTGTGGACACAGGCTTCCCCCTTGGCTAGTTTTCTCCTGGACTCCTTTCTGCCCGCTCGCTCCGACCAGGCACCCCTCGTCTCGCCCAGCTCGAAGCCTGCAGCATCCCGCGAGTGCCTGTTTGGCTGCCCAGCTCCCCTGCCCCATGCCTGCATGTGCAGCACCGGCTCGCTTCAGAGGCTTGGGACCTCACGGGCGTCCCTCCCCAGTGACGGTGACGACCAGCTCTGCTTTGGCTTGCTGCCTGCGCAAACGTTGGACCCCGTCCGTGCCTGGATCCTGCTCTGGTCCGAGCAAACCTGCAACCACGAGAGCGGAGGCGCAGGGCGCTGCTTCCTCCTCACCGTGTCTCTTCTGGGTGCTTTCAGGCCAGTCCCCTCGACAGCCCTTATCCCGCGCTTTGCCTGCGTGTGTGTAGCATGGCGGTTACTTCCCTCGCTGTATCTCGCCTCCGAGTAGCGTTTTGGGGTAACCCATCACACAAGGCTGGAGCGAGAGGTGCTGTGCTGGTCTCGATGCATGGCAGCCTTGAGGGACGGCCAGCCGGGCACGTCCGCTTCCTCCTCCACGGGCTGACCCCAGTGCTCAGGCACTGTCGGAGTCCCATCAGGGCACGTGGATCCCACAATTTCCCTGAGCGGCCCTGGCAGGGCAGGGAACAGGGTCTGCCATTTCCGTACGCCCGTATCTCTGCCGTAGCGAGGTGCGCACGCCCCTGCCAGCACAGCAGTGCCACAAGGGTTGCCGACGCTGGCTGCGCCCTGTGCCAGAGCCTGCCGGGGCACCAGCGTTCTGGCTGCGGCCACAAGAACGGGGAGGTTTTTGTTTCCAGGCACCGGGCAAATGGCAGCACGTGGTCCTGCCTCGGTGCCAGCCAGGCTGCCGGAGGTGAGAGCTCTGTGCGGTACCTGGACGGTCACCCAGCCTGGAAACCAGCGCAGAGGGACAGGAGGAGGAAAGCCTTCATGGCCCTCACTACCGGAGGCAGAAGTGCTTTGTTTGCTCTGTCTCACAAAGCAGTTGCTGCCGGGTTAGCCATGCCCGGCCAGCTCAGGTCCGTTTTTAGTTAGTGACACCAGTTCTTGATCGCCAGGCTGATGGCAGGACTTGTCACGCCGCGTCCCAAGGCAGGACGGCCGCATGCCTGCACTCGCTGCCAGGCTGTGCTGTGTCTGCCCCAGTGCCTGTCTCCTGGTATGTCCCCGACCCTCCCACACTCACAGGTAGGTGCCGGTACCTGTTGGGACACGAAACCTTTCGCTCTGTGAGCCGAGTCCGTGTTCTCATGGGAAAAGCCCCCTCCCCGACTGCGTTGGCCCCGTGCTCTCCTGTGCCAAATGGAGACGGATGAGAAGTGACCAAGCGTATCCCCGCCAACAGCGGCATTGCCTTTACCCTCCCGACTAACAGACTGTTCCAGGTAGAGCCCGGCCGCCCGCCACCAACACACCAGGTATGTCCTAAGCCCACCTCCCCGGGGGAAGGCAGCACCTGCCAGCCCTGCACCAGCAAAGCGACTAAAGGAGGGGAGGTCTTTCCGTCCCCCTCCAAAGGGCTCACACTCCAGACCCTGCTCCTCTTGACTACCAGCTGAACAGAAGGGAAACAGCACTGCAGAAAATAACCAGGCGTCTGTCTTGGCCCTGGACCCAGTAAAGGAGGCCGAGTTTTAGATCTGACTGCACAACGGATCCCTGTGCGTGTGTCTGATTTGTTACATGTGTCCAAGTCTCTGTCCACGATACTGTCATTCCAGATGGAGCCTCTGTACAGCCAAATCCCCCCCCCTCCTTTGCCCCGCGCGACAGTGGCTGGAGGCCTGGTCCACACAGCCCCAGCACACCAGGCTGCAGCCACCCCTGCAAGTGGCTTTTGCGTGTCCCTACAGGAAGGAAAAGGGGGGGGTGGAGGGGTGGACTCTTGCAGCTACAGGTAGAATAGAACTGTTAATTAATATTTGACTTTCAAAAGTTGTTAAGGATATATTTTTGGTTGTGTTCTGTTTCAATTTCTGTAGATTATAAACTTTAAATGGCTGTAAACCATGTGAGAAGAAAAAAAAAAATGTTAATAAAAATGCAAAGCCCCAACATTTGCACAAAAGGAGCCCTATGGTGTTGCTGTTTGCACTGACTGATCACCTTGGCATCGCAGCTGCTTCTCTTTCTGTCGTGGAAATCTTGCTAGTTGCACTTCAAGCCAGTGGTATAAGCACAGGCAGCGTGCCAGACAATTTTTTAAGAGACATCTTATGGTTTGGGCTACATCCTTGCATTTTATTACATTCTGGAGGAAAAAAACCTGGACTGTCTGGAGCCAGCCTGTTTAATCAGCCCAGAATTACTCAAGCTTAAAATTCAGCTGACTTGCACAGCTTCTGGCCTGAGGATACTGAACAGGCACAGCAAGGGACATCAGGCGATCTGGAAACCTCATCTGATAGATCACATGGTGCCATCTCCCCACTTCTTTCCATGTGGGAATGGGAGACGATGTGCCTCCAAACTGACCACTGCATCAGCCAAACCATCCTGCTACTGTTGCACTTCCAGGTACACAAGTGCTGTCACCATTCCGGGATGTCAAACCATGGATGCGAAGGAAGGGGAAAGGGGCTGGGAGAACTGCCTTTAGGTGGGTGCGCTGAATCTGAAATCCCGCTGCCTCAAAAAGATAGGGGTGGGTGTTTGCCCTTGCAGAGAGGCTCAATTAAATTTAAAAATCAGCTTAAACTATTCTGAGTATAAAAATTACCCCCTGAGATCCGAGAACAGAGCTTGGTTAGAAGAGCAAGAGGGCTAATATGAATGCAAATCAAAAAGGGAGCAGCTCCTTGAGCTAAGGAACAGATGTTTTGAGTTCAGTACCAATGTTCTGCAGAAATAATACTTCACTTTCCCCAGTGTAACACTGGGGAACTCGAGGTGGTACAGGGACGTGATGGGAAACAGACTGTGTGCTAAGTGAATGCCCAGTTATCTGTCTAACAGTGGTTTATTCTCACAACTCTGCTTTCTAGTCTCACCATCAAACTGCTGGAACTAATGGTGTGAGCCTGAGGCAGTTAAAGCAGTAGCAAGATTACGTGTACTCCCACAGCGAGGTTAAACCAGGCTAGCCAAGTGGCTACAGAGAATTATACTTCTGCAACTACCTCTTTTTTCCCCCCTTAAACTGTTTTGTTCATCTGCCAGTAACCACACAGTTCTAAGGCTAAGGATTCCTTTTTGCTTTTCCCTTTAAGACATGGTAAAGAAATCTGGCTCTCATCTCTGTACTTGAAATAAGACAAGTTGTACAGATGGTGGTTTGTCTTCAGCTGGTATTTTAAGAAAAGCCTGGAACAAACTATTTCTCCACAGGATCTTACCTCTCCCCAACAGAGTAGCAAGCAGCAAACTGATAACTGTAAAAACACTTGCAGCACGTTCAAATACACAGTAACCTAAATCAGTGCACTGCTTTTTTTGAAGATTGTCCTCCTGCCTCTTTTGATGCTAGCAACAGACTTAATTAAAATCAGACCCAAAGGATCGAAAAAGCTCAAAGTCCAGGCTTGTTTCCTGGAAACTGACAGTCAGCTGATCCGTCCTGGAGATACTGCTCACTGCGCCTGGCTCCATCCTTCCATACTCCCGCAAGTCTGCCCGAAGCAGCACGCCAGGGCTCAGAGCCAGATTATTGTTAGTCATTCAGGAAAAGCAGCCAACGCCATCCAGCTTGCACTGATCAGGACTCCAAAGGCAACGGAAAGGTAAGCCTGATGGTTCTTCTGCCATGATGCAGGCTCTCAGCAGCAGCGCTGGAACAAAAGGGAAACTTGCTCCCAAGGGATCCCACTGTTACCGCAGATAGTAATCAATTGCGGCGGAGAAAGCGGCAAATCCACCACAGCCGATAACCCCTGCCTTCAAACCAGCTGCAATGCAAAAAGGGTGGGAAAGAAAGAGACAAAATAGGAAAGTTATTTTACTTCGCAGTAACTAGCTTACACTGTGCTGGTTTGAGGAGCTTACACCTGCAAGAACTTGGCGGTCCTCTACCAGGGAACACTGGCACTACCCCTGCCCGAGGTGAGGAGGGGAACTTGGCACACATGGGACTTAAACTGCCCCAGCTGGACTAGCATGGCACGCTGGCTGGGTGCTGCATTGCTAAGACTCCCCCCAAGGGCTGGAAGAGAAAATGCCAGTGGCTATTGCTGATTTCAGTGCACTCTGATCTGAGCACCACAAAGTGGCTTTGCTGTTGGACTAGGGATGGATAGGAAGAGCAGCTGCAGCTTTGAAAGGTCTAAGAGGATTAGGTCCAGGATAGACACAACTTAACAAGCTCAATTAGACCCACTTTCAAGAGCACTTTCTTTTCTCTTATGCTCTGTGGATAGGTTTTTTTCTTAGGGAAAGGTGAGAGAAGTTTGATACTTCTGATGAGCAGAGCAGCTCTCTCCCTACTTGGGGCTTTTCTCCAGATGTTGTTAGCACGCAAGGCTTCCCAAAGTCCCCACTAGCGCCTGCTGGACAAAAATCCCAGTGCTCCTGCTCTTTTACCGCTAAGTAGAATTGTCTGTTTGAATTGATACATGAGAAAGGAGGAAAGCACTTTACACACTGTGCAAATTAACAGTTACTGTCAGTAAAACAGTATATATAAGCAGAGCTCTGTTAACACAAGAGCTGTAACTTCAGAGAGTTGCTCAGTGCGTACTTTTGTCTCCTTCCTCATGACACCACAGAAGCAGTGTGGACAGCTAACACCACTTCCTGATTTTTCTTTCAAGTAATTTCTGTTGATTTTCCTTCAATCTCACTGTCCTGTACAACCAACCCTTTCCTACCTACACATTATCCTTCAAGCTGACAGGAAAGGGATAGCGATAGCACTTCTGCCAGTCTGGAGTACGCTCTCATGTTGACATCACTATAACCCCATGCAAAGAGATTTGTAGTGTGTGTTCCATTAAAAACACTGCATGCTGCATAACCAAATTAGAGTCTTGTCACAGAAATAGTTCATAGCAGGCACTACCAACCTCTGAAGCCGATTGCTCCTCCTGTGATGCAGCCGCTAATAACACTATTCTTCCAGTCTGACTTTCCACGATACTGTGGAGTTAAAAATCAGTCAACAAGTAAATACAGAATAAACACTCAGTGTCTGTACTAATACCAAGAAAGATTAAATGACCTTCCAGCCCCTTCTCAGCTGAGGGTGTTTTTCCCTGTATTCTCAGCAGATGGCCCCCTGCACTCTCAAATACAAGACTTGCAGGGCCAGGAGAAGAGGAAGGAACGGGTCACTGGGAGAGGTAAGACAAATCCATATGATGCAATGCAGTAAAGATTCTCAGGTGAGCCGCTACAGCCCCCAGAACACAGCACTGTGCACTACCACCAGCTCAGAGATTTCAAAGGCACTGTAACCACATGGGTGCAACGCCGAGCCTGGCCATGCAGCCTGGTTCTCAGCACAGGGGAGAGTCCCAGCACTCTGCTGACAAAGATGTACGATTTCCATGGCCAGAGCACGCTAGTTTTTCACCAGGGCAGAGATCTCTTTGTTTTGCTCCATTGTGCAAGCAGATACACTTTTCTTCTAGATGACTTAAGAAATAATTGTGTCTTTCAATTAAAAGGCAGTACTGAAATTTATAACAGGCCAATTTTCCTAGTTAAGCAAATGGACAACAGATTTACCACTGAGCTGCACAAGGTCATTTCTTGCTGTAGGGGCAAGATGAAAATAGGCCTCTTACTTAAGAACTTTCATGTAAGGATCCCTTTCTGCATATGGAATTTTTAGAGGCTCAAATTACCATGTTGCAACTCATAGTTTGATGTTTTAAAGTAAAAACAAGTACTTGTAGCTGGGTTTTTTTAAAACTAATGCCTATACTCGCCAATACATTCAGGACTTGAACTGAAAAGGACTTTGCTATTGTATGCTCTTCTGCTCATTCTAGCAGAGCCCAGCAGTTCTGAAGACAGGTCTCAAAGCTGAAAAGCTTTGATGGCCAAGAAACAGAAGAAACTAGCCTACTCCCTTGCCCTGTTACAAAGGGGATACACATACTTATTTGGATCTAGTAAAAGAGACTATTAAGTGTACAAGAAAACATTTCTTAATGCATAAGAAGTTATTACTCACAGATTCTACCACGCATTCGGTGCAGGAGAACATGGCACCCACAATGGCGAAGTTCTTTGCATAGGATATGCCTCGCTGCCCCATATCTTTGAGGACCTCTTTTGCGGTTGGCGTGCGATATGGATCCTTGGGATCAAACCCAACGTTGGTGTCGATGCCAGCGGTGAAGACACCGAATGCGCCTCCCAGAACAAACCCTGTAAAAGACAAAGAGTATAAAACAAACCTTGGCTGGATTCGGGCAGCACATTCCCCACAGGCACCACAGCACCTCCGTTCCCGCTATCTATCAATGCTGTGGCACCAAAGGGGCAGCGCAAGAGCACACATGGCCTCTCTCTTCGTACTACAGCCACCCTCCTTGCTGGCAGCCTGTGCTGTGCTGAGGAAGGGCTGTGAGCACCTCTTCCTTTGCAAGGAAGGCAGAGATTCCTCCCTGGGATCTGTGACAGACACAGGAGAAGGCGTCCACGGGGGGTCCCTGTGCTGCTGCCTCTTCTCCATCCACCTCTTTCCCGACGCCACG